CCGCCGTGCCACAAGGGTGTGTTGCGTGCCCGCCCCCAAACTCCTGGCAGGCGGGGCTTTGCAGCTAATGGCGCTGTAAAACTCCAACATACAGCGCCCCGGCGTTTGCTCGCGGAGCCGAGCACCTTCGACACCTTGCTGTCGCCCAGCGCGGTCGCGTCTGTGCCGCCCACAGTCACAGCACCCACCCCGGCGGGTGCCTCGGTCAAGTTGGACGCGTCGTCGTCAACGCCCATATGGGGCACCACCCTGACCAGCTATCAGTGGGTGGCGCAGCAGACTGCAGGTGGCAGCGCCAAGCTGGAGGCCAGTGGCGCGAGCGCCACGCTCACGCTGCTGCCGGGAGAGTGGACCGTCACTCTGACGGTCAAGGACAGCCGGGGCGGCAGCGGCACCGACACCATGAAAGTGAGTGTCAAGCTCGCGGCAGATAGCGGCGCTCAGCCGGCGGCCGCCGGCGGGCCGGCTGCCTCAGCCGGTGGCGGCAGCAGTGGCGGCGTGCCGCCGGTGGCCGCTGCGGCGACGACGCCGCCGGCTGCCGCGCCGGCTGCGCCCGTCGCGCCCACCGCACCCGCTGTGGTGCTGCAGCCTACGCCGCTGGCAGTGCCAACGCCGCCGCCATCGACGGCTCCGGCGCCCGTCGCGCCCGTCGCGCCGGCGCCGACGCCCGCGCCGGTGCCGGTGCCGGCGGCCGCGCCCGTGCCTGCGCCAACGCCAACGCCAACGCCAACGCCCGCCGTGGTCCCGGCCCCTGCTGTCACGCCAACCCCTGTGCCTGTGGTCGTGCCTGTGGTGGTGCCTGTCCCTATCGTGGCACCGGCCCCCGCACCCACGCCTTCCGTTGCAGCTCCCGCACCTGCGCCTGTGCCCACGCCAGCGGCGACGCCCGCGGCAGCGCCGACGCCCGCCCCAGCCGGCGGCCGCGTGTGGGATCGCACGCCCCTACCCTACGTCCCCGGTGAGGATGCAGATGGGGGGGTGCAGAGGGGCGCTCTCGCGGGCGCGACGTGGCAGGGAGGAGGGCATTGGTGCGGCGGGCAGGTAAATCGAGTGCACTGCTGGGCTAGCTCGCGCCAGGCGGCGACTCCGGGACGCCCGGCTGCGGCATCCGTCGCTGTATTAAACAGGTCAGGTGGTCAAATCAGCCCGTTTTGACGCTCAACCCCCACCCCGAAC